TCCTCTTTACAGCTCTCCAGGTTCTCAAGCGGAGGTCTTTCACATCATGTCCTGCCTGGTCCTTTTGGAGATGCCGGGGATTGAACCTGGGGCCTTCTGCATGCCAAGCAGAGGCTCTTCCACTGAGCCACAGCTCCTCTTTACAGCTCTCCAGGTTCTCAAGCGGAGGTCTTTCACATCATGTCCTGCCTGGTCCTTTTGAACCGGAGATGCCGGGGATTGAACCTGGGGCCTTCTGCATGCCAAGCAGAGGCTCTTCCACTGAGCCACAGCTCCTCTTTACAGCTCTCCAGGTTCTCAAGCGGAGGTCTTTCACATCATGTCCTGCCTGGTCCTTTTGAACTGGAGATGCCGGGGATTGAACCTGGGGCCTTCTGCATGCCAAGCAGAGGCTCTTCCACTGAGCCACAGCTCCTCTTTACAGCTCTCCAGGTTCTCAAGCGGAGGTCTTTCACATCATGTCCTGCCTGGTCCTTTTGAACTGGAGATGCCGGGGATTGAACCTGGGGCCTTCTGCATGCCAAGCAGAGGCTCTTCCCCTGAGCCATGGCCCCTCTCCACATGCTTGTCTGATCTCGTCCCACCCCCTGCTCAATGCAGGATCAGCCTAGAGCATCCCTGACAAGCGTTTGTCCAGCCGCTGCTTAAAGACGGCTGGGGAATGGGGAGCTCACCACCTCCCCAGGCAGCCGATTCCACTGTTGCCCAACTCTTACTTAGTGCTGATATCTAAACCATGTATAAATGACAATGAGACAAAGAAGGAAGGGTGGTCCAAAAAATTGCAGGTGGGCAAAGTTTCCCGCAATACAAGTTCGTTCCGACTGGCTTCGTCTGAACAGGACCTCATGAAACAGTAAGCTGTCTTCTAAGTTTCATTCATCATAGGGTACGATAGCGAAGATCATATCGCTTCATGAAACTCGCATCGTATGCTTTGGTGCTACATTCTACAGTTGCAGTGAAATATTCCAAAGACACATTCAGGAAGGAGGGCACAGAAGCGTCGCTATCATACTCTATGATGAATGAAACTTAGAGAAGAAGAGGAAGAGAAGAGATTGGCTTTATACCCCGCCCTTCACTACCCAAAGGAGTCTCAGAGTGGCTTACAAACTCCCTTCCCCTCCCCACAACAGACACCCTGTGAGGTCGGTGGGGCTGAGAGAGCTCTGACAGAAACGGCTCTTTTTCAAGAACAGCTGTGCCAGAACTATGGCTTGCCCAAGGTCATCCAGCAGGTGCAAGTGGAGGAGTGGGGAATCAAACCCGGTTCTCCCAGATCAGAGTCCGCGCACTTAACCACGACACCAAACTGGCTCTCTTAGAAGACAGCTTACTGTTCCACGAGGTCCTGTTCAGACGAAGCCAGTCGGAACGACCTTGTATTCCAGAAAACTTTGCCCACCTGCACTTTTTTGGGCCTCCTTTCCTCCTCCTTCGTATCGTTGTCATTTATACGTGGTTTGATATCAGCACTGTAAAGCCTTTCTTCCATGTTTTCTGTATAGCGCTTGCATACCGCTTGCTTTTTCTTTTGCACTTGGATCTTTGGAGCTGTGATCCCCTTATCGCACAACTCTTTTACTGTCAAAAAGGTTTTCCTAATATCCAACCGGTACCTTCCCACCTGTAATTTAAGCCCATGATTGGGATTCCTCTCCTCCGCTGCCCACAGGAACAGCTCCCTGCCCTCCTCTAAGTGTTGTTGCTGTTCAGTCGCACAGTCGAGTCCGACTCTTCGCGACCCCCTGGACCAGCTCCCGCCAGGCCCTCCTGTCTTCCGCCATCCTCTGAAGTTGGCTCAATTTCATCTTCGTTGCATCCATGACACTGTCTAACCATCTCATCCTTTGCCGTCCCCATCTTCTTTGACCTTCAATCTTTCCCAGCATCAGGGTCTTCTCCAGTGAGGGCTCCCTTCTCATTGGGTGGCCAAAGTATTGGAGCTCCAGTTTCATTATCTGGCCTTCCAGGGAACAGTCAGGGTTGATTTCTTTTAGGATTGACTGATTGGATCTCCTTGCAGTCCAGGGGAAAAAAAAAAGCCCTCCGCCGAAGGACACTACCCCCTGGTCCTAGCAAGCCCCCGCCACAGAAAGACCTACGCTGCGTAGGTGCCTTTTAAGGCATCCATCTCCCCTGATATGTATGTGGCCCTAGTTAGATGATTAAATGTATATGTGTAAACCGCTCCGAGCCTCTGGGAAGGAGCGGTATAGAAATGTAATGTAATGTAATAATAATAATAATAATAATATAGTCCAACTCTCGCAGCCATACATGACTACTGGGAATACCATTGCTTTGACAGCCCTTCAAATGCTTTAAGAGAGCGATCTTGTCCCCCCTCAGTCTCCTCTTCGCCAGACTGAACATCCCCAAGTCCCTCGGCCTTTCCTCCTAGGGCTTGGTCCAATGTATCGCCAACTTGTTAGGCCAATAGCTAAGCAGACGACCTAAGCGGTGGTCTGACCGGGGAGGAAGGAACCGAAGCCAACCTTCAGCTAGGCTCCTCCCCTTCCCCACAGGCACTTAATTAGATGGAATGTAGTTAACTGGGGAGTCAGTACTAAGTTCTCTACTCCCTTGTGCAGCTGGGTGTTATCTGCAGTTTCACAAGGTCAGCTTGCTCTCTTTCGGGCATGTTTTTTTTCTGAACTCTGGCAACTCAGAAGCAGGCCTTCAGCCTGGACCAAACTTTTAACACAGGGCAAGGACTTTTAGGGAGCCGTTTCCTTCACGCCAGTCTCCTTATTTTGTCCCCCCCTTTTTTTCTTAATGGACCCAAAGCCTCCGCTTACAGGATGCAGCCAGTTTCTGCTGTGGGCATCTTGTCTCTCGTCCTCAACATCATGTGTGGGGCGCTGAACCTCATTCGAGGCGTTCACCTTGCCGAGTACTCATTCCAGGTAAGTCAAGAGACAACGTAAAGGGTAAGGATGTGGCGGGTGGGAATGAGTCGGGTGACTTAAGGTCCACCTCCATCTCATGACCGATAGAGCTGTGTCAAGCAAGAGGGTCCCACTTTGCCAGGTCAGTTGCGGTAAACGGCGGTGGAATTCTTCCTGACGCTCTCAACAGATTTAATATGAACGGTTTTTCCCCCCCATTTCTTTTTGGTTTCTTTTTTTATATTTTTCTTATGTGTGTGTGTCCACACACGCACCTGGAAGCCATGGCGACCTCTGGGGACTGACCCCTACTGGGGGCATGGAACGTATTCAGAGAGGTGGCTGAATAAAGCCTGCCCCCGCCTCCCAACTGCTGGTATTCCGAGGAGGTCTCCTGTCTAAGTACTTGCCAGAGTCGACCCTGCTTAGCTTCCAAGATCTGTTTTCAAAGTCGGGGTCCAGCTTACCTAAGGGACCATCTTTCCTCATATGTTCCCCCGCGAGCACTACGGTCTGGGTCGCAACACCTCCTGGCGATGCCAGGTCCCAAAGAGGCCAGGCTGGCCGCTACCAGGGCCAGGGCTTTCTCGGTGGCGGCTCCTACCTGGTGGAACGAGCTCCCGGAGGAGATCCGGGCCCTGCGGGGCTTTGCACAGTTCCGCAGGGCTTGTAAGACGGAGCTCTTCCGCCAGGCGTATGAGTAGGAGCCGCCACTACCATCACTACTGTTCCATCATAACCCAGCCCTGGAAGAAGGAACATCAGCGTTTCCTGGAATAGATGACGCTGAGTAGGTAGAGCAGTGTAATAGAGTAGTTGTAATATGCCATCTGTGGAATATCATGGTAGAACATCTAGAGCACTTTTGTTAATGTTACTAAACTGTAGTGATTTTAAATGGTTTTAAATATGTTTTATATTGGCTTGTGCCTCTTTGTAAGCCGCCCTGAGCTTGCGTAGTGGGGAGGGCGGGGTATAAATTGAACTTACTAAAAGAACTCACGGATGTAATTTCTGAGCCTCTGCCCATTATTTTTGAGAATTCTTGGAGAACAGGTGAGGTGCCAGAAGATTGGAGGCGGGCAAATGATGTCCCCGTCTTCAAGAAGGGGGGGGACGGAGGATCCGGGTAACTACTGACCCGTCAGCTTGATGTCTATACCTGGGAAAGTTTTAGAACAAATAATCAAACAGACAGTCCTTGAGCATTTAGAAAGGACGGCTGTGATTACGAAGAGCCAGCATGAGTTTCTTAAGAACAAGTCATGTCAGACTAACCTCTCTTTTTTTGAGAATGTTACTACCTTGCTGGATCACGGGAATGCTGTAGACATAGCTTATCTTGATTTCAGTAAAGCTTTTGATAAGGTTCCACATAGTATTCTTGTTGACAAATTGGAAAAATGTGGTTTGGATCCTATGACTGTTAGGTGGATCTATAACTGGTTGACAGGAAAGCTTGTGAACTATGTTTTTTGTTTCCTTGTGTACGAAAATGAATGGATTTGATCTCCGAATTTTTGTCTTCCCCCAACAGGAAGATCACAAAGGAATTGGAAATGTAATAGCCTTTCTTGTACCTTTCGTAGCTTGCTTCTTATTGGTGAGTAAAACGGCTGCTTTCTCGATATTTTGGCCGAGCGTTTGTTTTATTCCATTTTTAAGAACATAAGAGAAGCCAGTGTTGGATCAGGCCAATGGCCCATCCAGTCCAACACTCTGTCAACACGGTGGCCAAAAATACCAGGTGCCATCAGGAGGTAGAAAGAACTGTGATGTACCAGCATGGTGTACTAGTTAACAGTGTTAGGCTGCGGTCACACACGCTAAATAATCCACTTTCAGTGCACTTTCCAACTGGATTTTGTCAGTTCACACGGTAAAATCCAGTTGAAAGTGGATTGAAAGTGGATTATTTAACATGTGTGACTGCAGTTTTGGACTAGTAAACTTTGGTGACTTTGGTGACTGGCATATCCCAGTGTTACATTTTATCCATCCACCTCTTAAAAATGTGTTTTCTCTCCATCCCTGGCAGTGTTTCTAGAACAATAAACACATTTTTAATGTTGGTCTATCTGGGAGGGGTTTTCTGAGGCCCAGGAACAAACATAAAGAGAATAGGGCTCTTTAGCTTGGAGAAATGACGACTGAGGGGTGACATGATCGAGGTTTATACGATTATGCATGGGATAGAGCAGGTAGAGAAAGAGGTACTTTTCTCCCTTTCTCACAATACAAGAACTCGTGGGGCACTCCATGGAATTGCTGAGCGGTCGGGTTAGAACAGATAAAAGGAAGTCCTCCTTCACCCAAAGAGTGATGAACACCTGGAATTCACTGCCACAGGAGGGGGCGGCAGCTACAAGCATGGACAGTTTCAAGAGGGAACTGGATAAACATATGGAGCAGAAGTCCATCAGAGGCTATTAGCCACAAGGTATAGATAGGGACTCTGGGGCAAGTGATGCTCTGTCTTCTTGGTGCTTGGGGGGGGGGGTGTCAACAGTGGGAGGGCTTCTGATGTCCTGGCCCCACTGGTGGACCTCCTGATGGCACCTGGTATTTTTGGACACTGTGTGACACAGAGTGTTGGACTGGATGGGCCTTTGGCCTGATCCAACATTGGCGTCTCTTATGTTCTTATGACGTGAACCTGCGGCTCGGTTCAGGCAGAACCAGAAACCGGGGTTAATTTTAACTGGTTGGGCTGCGGAGTCAGAATTTAGCTCACAGTCGCTCATAGTCCAGTTTGCCTCGACGAATGCCGCTTTTCGTCACCTTCTCTCCGGCTAGGTGCCCCTGCCAGCCGGAAGGTGCGGCAGAGCATTGCTGTGGAGCAAGCCGGGACGCTTACATTTGTGCATCGTGTGGAGTCGTAGTCAAGACTGCAGTTCGCAAAGCAGCCTCAGGCCATGATTTCAGAGTTTTCGTGAGTCACTACTCAGTTCTTCAGATACCACTTCTTCAAATATTTACTTATTTATTTATTTCTTCACATTTGTACCCCGCCCTCCCTGCCTATCCGAAGAAGTGAGCAGTGACGCATGAAACTCACCCCCTGCCACAAATCTCCTTTGCCTTTAAGGTTCTACTGGACTCTTGCTATTTTCTGCTACCTTGGCTGTTTGTGATGTGTGGCCCAAACCTGACAATCGGGGGGGGGCACTGTAATGATTCCATGTTTTGGTGTGTGTGTTCCTTTAAATGTTTCGTTTGACTGCAGTAATATGAGAAGAGTGATAGAGGGAGACAAGTGTATTGTGACAGGCTGATGACTGAGAGTGTGGGAGGAGGGGTGTCTGAGAGGAATTGGGGTGTGTGTGTGTCTATGAAGGATTCTGTGTGTGAAGTTTGAAGAGAGAACATAGTCTGTGTGACTATGGAATTCTGAGTCTAATTCTGTGTGAATGAGACCAACAGTTTTAGTCTGTGTGACTAAGAGAGTTGATTCTATTCAGTGTGAATAAAACAAAGAGACTAGCCTGTGTGGCTATAGATATATGAGAGAGAGAGAGAGTATACTGAGAGACTAGCCTGTGTGGCCATAAACACACACACACACACACACACACACATATATGAGAGAGAGAGTATACTGAATGTATAAGCCTGTCAGAGTGGAGTTTTGGGAGTTTGAAAGACTGTTTGTGGCACCAAGCTTTGCCAGTTATATTTACAAGTTCCTTTCTTCAGCAACTGTTCAAAATAACCCAAAACCTATTTTGTTCTTTATGAAATAAATCATTTTTGTTTAAACTTAGCCCAGAAATCAGTACAGTACAGTACTTCCTCAGGGCCACATAGTCCTCTGAAGTGCCCAGACCCTAGGTCATATTACCAAAGGAGAGAGATTTGGGATTTTTAATTCCTGGTGGCAGCATAAAACTACCAAGTTTATGTACTCAGAGAGTGTTTAAAGGTAAAACCATCTCCCCTATAAGCAAGAACCTCACAGGCACGTTCCGCGGAACCGGAAGCGCCCTAACTCTCTGCTTTACATTAACCGGCATCCATCCTTGTGCTCAGGCGTGCCGCTCACAATCTCTTTCGGTGCTCTCCTCTCTCTTACAGTGTTACCTTTACCTGTTCTACAGTTCGGCGCGGCGGGTCAAGGTCTTTGTGCTTTTCGTCACTGTCTGCGCGTGCAATATCTACCTGTACGGACTCAGGAACGTCTGGCAGATCCTTTTCCACATAGGAGTGGCGTCGCTGTCTGCCCATCAGATCCTCACGCGACAGGTGGCGGAGAAGCAGCCGGACTGCGGAGTATGAGAACAAACATGGAACGCCACAGTTTTAAAAAACTGGGGGGGGGGGAAGTTTCATGCTATTCGGCAGTCGCCTAGGCAGCAGGGTGAGATTATTAATTTTTTTTTAAAGCCATGGTTCTCTTTCTCGAGAGTGGGTTTTATAGCATAAATTGGTCATAGTTTCAAAGGGTGAAAGGGACCGGAAGGTGGGCTCATCCCTCCCGAGAGAGGATCCTCAATGCACCAATTCTTTGGAGATTAATGTATGTAATTTAGAGGATGGTCTTGGAAGCTAAGTTGATCTGGGCATACGAAGGGAATATCCAGAGTGACCTCTTGGCTTCTAAAAGGGGTGGGGCCATCTGTCAAGGGCATTCGATGAAGTTGACGGGCAGTAGGTTCAGGACAGACAAAAGGAGATACTACTTTATACAGAGAATGATTAAAAGGTGGAATTTGCTGCCAGGGGATGTTGTGACGGCCACAGGAATAGACAGCTTTGAAAGGGGATGAGAGATTTATAGAGGATAAGTCTGTCAATGGCTACTAGCCCTGGTGACTGAGAGGAACCTCCACATTCAGAGGCACTAAGCCTCTGAATCCCAGAGCCAAGAGGCAACATCAGGGGAAGGTCCTGGGCTCTGTGCCAGAGGAACTGGTTAGCCACTATGTGAGGCAGGATACTGGACTAGATGGACCCTCACTGGTCTGATCCAGCAGGGCTCTTCTTATGCTCTTATCAGGGGAAGGCCTCAGCCTCCATGCCATGTTGTTGGTTCTCCAGAGGAACTGGTTGACCACTGTGTGAGACAGGATGTTGGACTAGATGGACCCTCCCTGGTCTGATCCAGCAGGGCTCTTGTTACGTTCTTATCAGGGGAAGGCCTTGGCCTCTCTGCCCTGTTGTTAGCCTTCCAGAGGAACTAGTTGGCCACTGTGTGAGACAGGATGCTGGTCTAGATGGACCCTCCCTGGTCTGATCCAGCAGGGCTCTTCTGATGTTCTTCTCAGGGGAAGGCCTCAGCCTCTCTGCCCTGTTGTTGGCCCTCCAGAGGAACTGGCTGGCCCCTGTGTGAGGCAGGATGCTGGTCTAGATGGACCCTCCCTGGTCTGATCCAGCAGGGCTCTTCTGAGGTTCTTCTCAGGGAAAGGCCTCGGTCTCTCTGCCCTGTTGTTGGCCCTCCAGAGGAAGTGGCTGGCCCCTGTGTGAGACGGGATGCTGAACTAGAGGGACCCTCACAGGTTTGATCCAGCACGGCTCTTTTGATGTTCTTCTCAGGGGAAGGCCTCAGCCTCTGTGCCCTGTTGTTGGCCCTCCAGAGGGACAGGTTGGCCACTGTGTGAGGCAGGATGCTGGACTAGATGGACCCTCCCTGGTCTGATCCAGCACGGCTCTTTTGATATTCTTCTCAGGGGAAGGCCTCAGCCTCTCTGCCCTGTTGTTGGCCCTCCAGAGGAACTGGCTGGCCACTGTGTGAGATGGGATTTTGAACTAGATGGACCCTCACAGGTCTGATCCAGCAGGGCTCTTCTGATGTTCTCATTAAGGGAAGGCCTCAGCCTCTCTGCTCTGCTGTTGGCCCTCCAGAGGAACTGGCTGGCCACTGTGAGAGACAGGATGCTGGACTAGATGGACCCTCCCTGGTCTGATCCAGCAGGGCTCTCCTGATGTTCTTCTCAGGGGAAGGCCTCATCCTCTATGCCCTGTTGTTGGCCCTCCAGAGGAACTGGCTGGCCACTCTGTGAGATGGGATGCTGGACTAGATGGACCCTCCCTGGTCTGATCCAGCAGGGCTCTTCTGAGGTTCTTATTTTGTGGAACATGCCCTGAATGGAGAGTGAGTTAAAAAGAAGTGACTGTTCTGGATGGCATCCGTGCATCAAACCTCAGCACGCTACAGCGGAAGACAGAAGAAAGCCTCACAGTGACAGTTAACGACACGAGTTCGGCAGAGGAGTGCCAGTTGGGTCAATTGTCCGTTTCCTTGGAGCGGCACCTAACAGGGTCGAGCTCTCCACACCGTGTGCTCCTAAGAGCAGGATCCTGCAGAAAATGGGGGCTTTGTTGCACAAAGAGCCCGTGTTATTCCTTTGTAAGGACTATGCCGCATCTGCCGCTCCCATCCACCATCTAAAATAGGGATCACAAAGAGACTGGTTGGGTCTCAGCCGTCTTCTCGGAACACCCCAAGGGCCGACCTACACGTCCCGCCGAATAGCAAAGCACTTCTTGGACTGTGCCACTTCAGGCTGCAGATAAGGGGTTTTGTGTTCGCATCCTTCTCCCGTCAGAAGTGCCCTGCAGGTAGAAAGCTAGCACATCAGGCTAAGGGTTATCGTGTAGCGCTCCTTAACTGGCAGGCAGTTTTGGGTTGTTGTTTTTTTTTAATGGGAGACTTTCAGATCAACGGATCTCCCTTTCCAGTGGCTGGAGTGGAATTGTCCAGCAAGGGCTATGAGTCTTAGGCCCAGCAGCGGATGTGTGAGATTTTTCCCGCATGCGAAGTTGTAAAATGGAAAGAAGCACTTTTTTTACGTGAACGGGGGGGGGGGGGGGGGCGAACGCCAAACAGCCAATCCGCCCGTTGGCTCTTTTCTACAGGCTTGTAGCCAAGATTTTGTGGCTTGCGGGGCAATTTTTTCCCCCATTCCCATAATGAAGCGGGGGTGGTGGTGGTGGTGCGCACCCCTCTCCCTCCCCTCCTGCAAGATTTGACTTTGACAAGCCTTTATTGGCCTATGTGTACGCATACAATAGGAGATCAGGAAAATACAAATCCGTATCGGGAAAGACTGGAGCTACGGCGCAGGAAAACAGCCTAAAAACAGGGAAAAAAAACCCTAGTGGTTACTTATCCGAACGTATCGCCATAGCACTAAGAAGAAACTTTGCTACTGTTTCTGGTTTCTGTTATTTCCGTTATCTGGATGATCGAGTAAAAACAGAACCTTAACATCGTCAGGAATCTCTGGGAATCGAGCTAATCTAGGGTACAAAAGATCCAGGCGGGGCGCCAGATAAAAGGGACATTGAAGGAGAACACGGGGGACAGTTTCAACACGGTTCTTCATACAAGGACAGCACCTGCTGGAGTAAGGGATCCCCTGGAATCTGCAAGATCTAAAGGGCCCTTCAGCTGATCGGCGGGGAGCACGCGGCCCACCAGTCAGCCGGGAGGGCCTTTAAATCTTGCAAGCAGGAGGGGAGAGGGGCGCGTACCACCCCCCGCTTCTTCTCAAAAGCATTTAAAGTATCCCTTTAAGTGCTTTTGGGAAGAAGAAGAAGAAGAAGAAGAGATTGGATTTATACCCCGCCTTCACTTGGAGTCTCAGAGTGGCTTACAGTCTCCTTTCCCTTCCCCTCCCCACAACAGACACCCTGTGAGGTAGGCGGGGCTGAGAGAACTCTGACACAAACTGCTCTTTTTCAAGGACAGCTGTGCCAGAGCTTGTGACTGACCCAAGGTCACACCAGCAGGTGCAAGTGGAGGAGTAGGGAATCAAACCCGGTTCTCCCAGATTAGAGTCTGCACACTTAACCACTACACCAAACTGGAAGAAGCGGGGGGCCATTTAAGGAAGGGGGCTGTCCCTTCAAGGAAGGGGGCTGTGCCTTTAAGGAAGGGGGCTGTCCTTTCAAGGAAGGGGGCAGAGCCCTCAGTAGCCCCACGATAGGTATAGGCCAGTTCCTGGACGTGGTGGAATGGCTTCCACTGCATTATCCGAGGGGAATGCATATTGCTCCCGTGGGCCTGTTCGGATCCTCAGGAGGTAAAACCAGAACTGTGTAAAAGAAGGTAAAAGGGGGGTGGCCGGGGTGGAGCCAAGGGTATTCGGGGGAGGGCACCGGTCCAGGAAAGGATGCCGTCGCTCCCCGTGGGAGGGCTAATGGCTTACCCGGTTTCCCACTTTGTGCAACGGGCGTTGGCCCTCTAGTGGCACAGAGCATCTCTAGTAAGTCACCGGGAGGGGAAAACAAACCTTGACCCAAAAACTGGCATCAAGAACCAGAGGGGCAAGAAAGAAGTCTGATAAAAGGGCCAGTATTAATAACCTAGTTGAAACTTATAAATACATGTATTTATTAGAAAGACAAAAACATATAAGAGAGCCAGTTTGGTGTAGTGGTTGAGTTCGCGGACTCTAATCTGGGAGAACCGGGTTGGATTCCCCACTCCTCCACTTGCACCTGGCTGGGTGACCTTGGGCAAGCCATAGTTCTGATAAGAGCTGTTCTTGAAAAAGAGCAGTTTCTGTCAAGAGCTCTCTCAGCCCCACCGACCTCACCGGGTGTCTGTTGTGGGGATGGGAAGGGAAAGGAGTTTGTAAACCACTCTGAGACTCCTTCGGGTAGTGAAGGGCGGGGTATAAATCCAATCTCTTCTTCTCTTCAATGAAAGCCTCGTAAAAAAGTAAAGGTGGCCTAAACACAAGGGCCAGTACACATGACCTGACGCGTTTCCGCCCAATTGGGGCCTTCTTCAAACAGTGTTGAGGTCCACGTAACAATAATACATATTACAATAAGATAACCAATAAGCGAAAACTGGTCCAAAAAAGCACCTGTGTGGCTAAGTCAGAGCTAGAGTGTCCTCAAGCAAATAGCTTTTTGGACCTAAATTGGAAGATGTTCTAATTCAGCAATTGTGCATTCGGCACCAGACACACGACTTCCATCTTTTGAGGCCTCACAAACATCTTTGTCTTGTGCCTTTAGATCTTGCTGCTCAACCTTCCTTTGGTGTAGTGGTTAAGTGCGCGGACTCTAATCTGGGAGAACCGGGTTTGATTCCCCACTCCTCCACTTGCACTTGCTGGATGACCTTGGGCAAGCCATAGTTCTGGCACAGCTGTTCTTGAAAAAGAGCAGTTTCTGTCAGAGCTCTCTCAGCCCCACCTACCTCACAGGGTGTCGGTTGTGGGGAGGGGAAGGGAAAGGAGTTTGTAAGCTGCTCTGAGACTCCCTTGGGTAGTGAAGGGCAGGGTATAAATCCAATCTCCTCTTCTTCTTCTTGGTCCAATATTAAGAACATA